AATACACACTTTCTAAATTACGTTCAATGTCCATATCAGAGAAATTCAGGAATGAAAATGACGTTACATACGAGGTTGATGCATTTGTGCATGTCGTACTAAGCAAGGTATAAAAACAGTTGCTTTATGAGGAATTAGTTCGTACCATTGAATATTTGACGCAATAGACAAGGTGTCGCAGAAACCGATGTTGCTATAACCAAGTTTTACTGTATATCCTCTATTTTCCTTTCAATTCTTCTTTTAAGTATCTTTGCTATTATCTCTCAAAATATGGTTCAGTAAAATAAAAAAAACAGAGTAACACAAGACATCCAAATAGTATGGCATGTGACATCATGAGATATCCTGCTGTGATATCAGTGGGGTGTATCAGGACCAAAAGATGGAAGCTGCAAGAAGTTATGGGATATCCAACTTCTGTGTGTATGTGTGCGCATGCATGTGTCATATTTTAGGGAACAACCCTGTGCTCTAAAACTGATCCAAAATATTCCAAGGAGTGGATCTGGGATGAACATAAGGATGTTGCATGAGTCTTTCATATACATGTATATAATTTTGACATAATGCCTGATATCCCTTGGAAATCAATATGCCTAGAGCAATCACTAGAATACTTAAACAATTAGTTTAACATTTTATTGCTGCCGAACTGTGAAGTAATTTAAGGTCATGGTCCTCTGTCTGCAGTTTTCCAGCTAGTAAGCACTCAGCAAACTACAGTGTCACAGCCCAGAGAACTACAATCTTGTAACATTTGAGGTTTTCACAGCAGTGACTATGAAGAATACCATCTTCTGGGATGTGGCACCATGTATATATAGTGTGTACAGATATTGTGTACACCAGAAGATAGCATTCTTCAACTACAATCTTAATGATCACCAATGTCAATAATTCACTTTTACCAGTGCAATATTGTTAACTCCTTCAGACACTGTTCAACACTAACAGTGGTAACATTCTTACCAGTTGTGTGTGCACACATGACCTTTCAAAATTTTTCATTATACAGTATTACAATTTAACATCCAGTTAAAAATAATGAAAATTTCTTCAGAATTTCATAACACTAGCAGAACAATGCCAGAATGTGAAGTTCAGAAAACAGTGTGCAGTAACAGTTATTAAAATACAGGGTCTACCAAAAAGAATGCTGGGATTTCAAACACCTGCAACTAGGAAATGAAAACCGACATGACAATGTTGGTACCTATACTCACCCACTCACTCACTCACTCACTCACTCATGGAGCTGAGCCCTTCTTGAGAAGCCACAAATTGTGCAGCTACTCAAGAACTTCCCAGCATTTTATAGAAACCAAAGATTCATTACCATGTTCACAAGAGCCCTCC